TTTGTTATCATCATGGCAGCTTTGTTTACATATATCACACAGTTTATGAGCTCTGAAGCACTACAAAGTTGTTTATAACAATATAACACCTTGTTGTGATTCCAAGCATGTAAATTTTGTAATACAGTACTAAATTTAATAAATGTAAACAAAGTTGCCATAATTAAGAAAAGATGTATAGGTTTTATAAGTGGTTGTGCAAACCCTAGCCCAAGTGAGATTCCCTAAGGCTTAGCAGCCCACCAGTTAGTATGGCTACTAGGAGCTATCAAGGGGCTGACCAAGAAAATGGCATTCTTTTAACTAAACACTTGATTTTTCTCAGTTTTAGGATAACCTTTGATCCCCTGTAGGAAAGGGGATCTCAGAAGCCTGGTGTATCTTCCTTGGGCATGGCAATGCTGTATCAGCTCTTAGCTCTGGAGACTACAGCAGGGGCCCTCTCCAGAAGAAACTGTACAAACAAAAAGTTCACTAGGAATCCTAGGGTTGATGCGACTTAAGTGAATTAATTACCAGAATATGTGTGACGCTATCTCAGTGTGGCTAGCTACAGGGAGCCACCAAGGCTCCCTTTCAGAGTTATTTCATTATAGTCAATGCTGTTTTTTCAGGCTGCCAGAAATGTTTGATGAGGTTGAAAAACACCTGGAAGAGCTGGGCTTCTCATCCCTGGAAATTCGCCCCACAAGTCTAGAAGATGTCATAATAGCACTTGGTGCCACCAGCTGTAATGTCCCTCCTAGCCATGATAGGTCTAGAGTGAAACCGATACCAGAAATTGATAGTAAGTTATTATTGGGCTATGGAGGATTCACCACAGTATTGTGATGATTTTCAATTCATAGTTTTCCTATTGATAAATGCACTTGAGTTTTTGCTATCAGAAAACCATAACTTGTCTGGAAATTTCTTTACTATCAGAATACAGAACAACCCGGTGTTCCTAATATGCAAAAAAAACTTACTCTTTTATTAAAAAACACTTTTGCTGCCCAATGACGCATAGTTTGTCATGAAACCAAAATACGGAGTACAGTATTCCCGATGATGCAAATGGCGTCGATAATTTTAAAAAAATTGTAGAAATTCGATTTATTGTCTGAATACTATGGGATGTGTTTTAAAATGTGCACCAACTTCTGCCCATTCTTTGTATACCCCACGTGGCATCCTGACCCCGCTATATGGGTGCCCAACCACGTTGGAGGCTCACTGTTTTCGTGACGTGTGTGAGGGTCACGATCTGTCCCTGTGGCCTGACAGCTGTGGCCTTCCCCCACCCCCTCCCCCGAGTCAAAAAGTTCCCCATTCTGGTTATTTTATCTTGGGTATTTGTTGTTACTGGCTTTATAAATACAGTAAATTGACTTCTAGATGTATACTGATCCAGAACAGAGCCAATCCATGATGAAAGCATTGAAAGAAACACGTTTGAGGGAAACGTTATTGGGTTTTCGTCAAAAGTATAGAAAAGTGAGACTTATAAATATAAAAAATTTGAAAAAATTTGAAAATATAAAAACGGAAACTACGTACAAAACTCAGGCAAATCGTAACAGAACGAAAAGACAATGTAAAGGATCTGGGTGTACTCATGTCGGAAGACCTTACCTTTAAAGAATACAATAAAGTAGCCGTCACAACTGCAAGAAAAATGACAGGTTGGATAACAAGAACTTTTCACAATAGAGATGCTATACCGATGATGATACTTTTCAAAATGCTTGTGCTCTCTAGAGTGGAGTACTGCTGCACAATGACAGCCCCTTTCAAAGCTAGAGAAATTGCTGACCTGGAGAGCGTGCAGAGATCCTTTACTGCTAGAATCCACTCGGTAAAACATCTAAACTATTGGGACCGACTAAAGAGCCTAAATCTGTACTCCCTTGAGCGCAGGCGAGAGAGATACATAATAATTTACACGTGGAAAATATTAGAGGGGCTGGTCCCAAACCTGCACACAGAAATAACATCACATGAGACCAGAAGGCATGGCAGGATGTGCAGAATACCCCTGTTGAAAAGTGGAGGTGCAACAGGTACTCTGAGAGAGAACTCTATCAACATCAGAGGCCCGAGACTGTTCAACACGCTTCCGCTACACATAAGGGGCATAACTGGCAATCTCCTCACAGTGTTCAAGAGAGAGCTGGATAAGCACCTCCAAAGAATACCTGATCAACCAGGCTGTGACTCATACGTCAGGCTGCGAGCAGCCGCGTTCAACAGCCTGGTTGATCAGTCCAGCAACCAGGAGGCCTGGTCGACGACCGGGCCGTGGGGACGCTAAGCCCCGGAAGCACCTCAAGGTAAGGTATATGTTTTTATATGTTCTTATATGCAAATATTCCTTTACAGCACTCTATTGCGAACCATCTGATACCAAATTGAACAACGTAGCATGAAAAATTGAAGTGAGAAAGCTGAAAAGAGAATAAACATTGGAGTGGTGAGCTCTTGGGCAACGCTTGGGCTACCTTTCAGTGTGCGGTGTGTCTAAAGTACAGTGGCACCTCGATATAACGAGTTTAATCCGTTCCGGCACCGAGCTCGTCATGTGGAAAACTCACCTTGCGAAACAACAAAACTGTTGTCGGAGGTGTCTGAAAACCAGCGGGAATGCTCGTTAATCGAGCGAAAGCTCGTCAGTTGAGACATATTTTCTGCGAGTGGCTCTCTCGTAACTGGAGCCGCTCGACACTCGAGGTTCCACTGTATAAGAAAGAAAAAAGTGAGAGTTATATGTTATTATCTGCAGATATCCCTTTACACCATTCTATTGCAAATACAGTAGTTTAATACCAAATTGAATGACGTAGCACAAAAATTGTGGCGAGAAAGCTGAAAAGAGGAATAAACATTGGAGTGGTGGTGAGCTTTGAGCTACCTTGCAGTGCATGGTGTCTAAAGTGTAGGAAAGTGAGACATGTGTTCTTATATGCACATTTTCCTCTAGAACATTCTATTGCAAACAATTTGATACCAAATTGAATGACATAGTATAAAAATTGAGGTCAGAAAACTGAAAAAAGAGTATAAACATTTGTGGGTGGTGGCGAGTTAGTGGGCACCGCTTAGCCTACCTTCATGTGAGCAGCGGGTCGCCTGCCGGGGCAGCGAAAGTGTTAATGTATCTTGCATATTATTAATGTACAGGAACTACTATAGCAACATGCAGTTCCTGCTTTACTAATGAAGACCAAATTTTCAGTTTTTATCAAATATTTTAATTTTCCTGTGGGGGAGCCCCGTCAGCTCCATGAAGTTATCAGAGCTGCTATACAGTATGCTCTATTAGTTTGGGGGTCACAGGAGTTCTTATGCCTACCAGGAACCACAAGCTAGAACCTGGTTCCCTCAGAGAGGCACAGAGGGCAATGGCCTATGAGCATTTTAATGTAAAGTGCTCATAG